GTAACATGCGACGGAAATGGTTCAGGCATCCCTATACCGTCGGGTTTTCCGGCAGACACGGCGTCGGTGAATTGCCGACGTATGTTCCGCCGGTAATGTTGACGCAAGCCTTACGTTGAACAAATCCGTCGGTGAGTACGCCGTTTATTACCGTCTAAAAAAATCCGCCGGAAACTCCGCCAGTATGCACGTGTTTTCCCGTAGTGAAAGAAAGACACACAAAAGTATAAGACTCCACTAAAAATGACTGAACTCTGATAGACCCCATTCCTAAAGAATTGAAAAATTATTTTATAACAAGTGTAGAAACGGCCTCAAGCTCTCTGGCACTTGAAGTGTTGATTCTGTTGAGTTATCAAATGAATTAGCTCCTTAGTGCTATTAGGCTTACTCCACTATGGTGTTGTGCTGACTTAGAATAGTTAATAGTTAAATCAACTCATCTTTTGACTTATTAGACGTGACTTCTCATTTTGATAACTGCTCCACCATGGTGCTATAAATGTTGAGCATTGCAGTGCTTGCAAGTACAATCTGACACTGTGGCATTGTGATGATCGGTATTTTGACATTCAAATTCCTGATACTAAAGTGCTACAATGTGGATTTCTAACATTGTGGCGCTGACCTTGACTCTACTAGGGTGTTAATTTTGCCTTAAATTCTAGAGCGACCGGCACTATAATGTTTGAATAAGGTGTTGGGGCATGGTAGATGACAACGTTGCGATGTAGAATTTTTGGGCGCTACTGTGCTCGTTCAACACCCGTGAATTTTTCTTCTCCTGAATATTTCTTACACAAACACGACTTAAATATCACATTTTTATTGAATTTTAACACAATAAATAATACATAATTTATACTTAACAACAACCTAACACAATATAACTCATAGATAGAATATGTTATATTATGTTAGATGATGAAAAATCAAGCCTAAGAACTAACTTTTGAAGACTTTTCAAAATTGTTTAATCTAAAATAGACCACATAGTTATTAATTAACTTCCTACTAAATAGAAAGTAAACTCATACACAATTTTTTTTTTATTCATCTTTAAAATGCATATACAACAAAATCTATCTACTATAGTACACGACTATTAATAAGAGCATATGAAAGAAATAAATAATTTTGATTGTACACAAATTTATAAAGCAGAAAGTAATTATATTGACTTAGGCATACCATAACCTATGCCTTAGCTACTCAACTCGTTTTTCCCCATTTCCTGGCCTGAAATATAATGCATAATAGATGTGAGCCAACATAACTCAACAGATCACACCCACTGCTCTAAATTTTCTATGATTAATACATTATGTATTTAAATGTAATTTAATAGCATCTTACAACAAATTTATTATACTGAGCAGATAACTAAAATATATTAGACTTTGTATTGAATATAAATAAATAAGTATTTTATATATCAAAGAAAAAAGTAACAGCGCTTAGGTTCTTATACCTCTCATCATAAATAAATATCAAAATTCATGTCATTACGCTCTCTGCACTAGCTTATAAAAAACAGAGTCTTATAACTATCAAATGCTTAACGCATATCATATATTAATAATAGACTCTTATGACCCCTCGTGCATTTAGTACAATAAAATTTCCTCCAATATCAGATCTTCACAGAAACACACAATTCAAGCAGATAAGTGCAGATATAATTGCATTGCAATAAAACAAAATTAAATAAACTAGTTTCTAAAATGCACAAAATATTTTAACGACTTAATTGATTCAACAACCAGCTAAATTTCACCATTTTAGAATTTAATCAAACTACCATGGATTATTCAAAATATTATTTTAAAACTTTAAATGTACTACAACATTATTTTTTGATATCATAATTATTTTTTAATTTGCTAAAAACAACACACTTTTCAAATTACCCAACAAAATTTTTTCAGAAAAATACCTAAACGTCCATAATAATCATATCTGCAACATACAAACAGCTACAAGGGGAAAGTTTAGTTGTTGCAATGTTGCTCTCATTTTTATGTTGTAAAATTATAATTTAAATTTAAAAATCCCGAAATTTCCGTCATTACGGAAGAGCATACAGGTATGCTCATGAAACCCTAGCGATGTGTTTTATCGAAGCTGCCCCATTCCTAATGAGGAGAGACATAATGGTCTTTGCTGATGAGACAATACCACAATAATAAGAGACTAAGCTATCTTCTATTGATAACTATCTCTATGTACTGGAATATTCATGATGATAAAGAAAGAGTCTTATAAGAGTGTTTAAAGACTTTAAGAGCATCACATAGAAATGATCTATAAGTATATTTGCCTTATGATCCTTTTTATAACACCAAGATCCTTCCCAGCTTTAGCTTAACTATCATAGCTTCAAGGAGTTCAATTTGAATGCATAGAGTGACAAAGGCAGAGCTGCTTCATGAAGAACTCACAGTTCCAATTGAACAACTCAGTTCTAATTATTGCTTCTTAAAGCAGCTTTCTAGTATAAAAATTTTAATTTTTATTCTAGAAAGTTGCTTCAAGAAGCAGTAAAAAAGACGTCCCAAACGAATCCTTAAGTCCTAAGAAGCTCTCATTCAACTGTAGTGACTTCTGAGCTACTGATATACACTGAAAGTAAGCTAGCTTCCATTCAACACTTGAACTACTTGTAGTGTGTTTCCCACCTAGTTCAATAAATCTGATCAGTAAGCCTCCATTCAACAACTTAACTATTTACAAAGTGTTTCCAACTACTTAATTATAGTGAGTGAGTTATATGGCCATATTCAATGTTAAAAGCAAAGTGCAACTGAGCTACTTTTGGTGGCTATTGAGTGCTTGAAGGTGATTGAAATCTGATTTTTTTTTTTTTTTTCAAACTACTCATATAATATTCAGTGCTTGTTATTGTTTCATTAATGGTCAATGATGAGGTGTTGTCCACTGAAGACAAAGTTTTGATTGGGGCGGCTTTCTTGCTGCTTCTTAAAACAGCTTTTTAGTGCAACAAACTAATTTTTGTTCTAGAAAGCTGCTTTAAGAAACCAAAAGAAAGTCGTCCCAAACAACGCCAAAGTTCTCTTTTCTTTCTTTCTTTCTTTTTCTTTTTTTACATTGAATGTGTTTAATCACAGACATTAGAAGTTGATAATTAGTTCGTTCAAACTCCTCTCTCCATGGCGGGAGCCAATACGGTAATTATAAAGTCGCATAGCCCTGCATGATGATGATGTATGATATAGGGCTTATGCAAATATTTAGTTTTTGGCCATAGATTGGGTTGAGAACGATTTGATTTTGATGATCCAGTCCTAGATCGAATATATATAATCGAATATATATAAGCTGGCTTGAAATCGACTCGTAAATTGAATGAGTTCAGCTTGAAGATTGGACCGAATGAAAAAATTTGACTTTTAGCTCAGCTTATTCCGAACTCGATCTAAGCCAAAAATTCGTTAAATTTTCGAATGAATTTCGATCTTCGAGGTAAAAATCTTATATATAACTATATCCAATAGATACTACATGAATTTTTAAATACATACTTGATACCTAAGTTTTCTAGCTGAATCCAACATATAATAAACTTGATTTTCAAAATTTATAAATACAACCAGCAGATACGACACATTTGTATTTTTTGCTGCATATAGCTCACTTAATTTTATTTTATTTTACTTGACTTTGTCTAGTTTTATTTTCTGGCAATTGATTTCTTTTTTGAACTTTGAATTACTTTATATTATTAGTTTCCATAGATAACTTGTGGATTGTTATCTTTGATTCTAAGGGGATCAATAAATGTCTTGATATGTATTTGATTTAAAAATTTTAGGTTCGGATTGATCCGATTAATTTTAGGGTTCGATTTAGGTTAAAAATGTTGACCCGATTGGTTCTTTGGATTGGGTTTGGATTAACTCAAAATCCTAAAATTGACCGGAAAATGATTCGTTTATCATTCAAATTCATGTTAGATAAATCATTTTCTAGTTAAATATGACATATTTGAATTAAACAGGTTGCATTTATATAAAAAAATTGTAGAATCTATATGATAAATACGAACAATTATTAGGTCAGGTGACCTGACGTAGCTCTACGTTCGGACCCCAATAACATGTCGCCACGTGGTCTTACTCAATACCGCGCGGCCCGACGACTTGACCTGGGATTGCTATGTTTGCGTATTGCTAGGTATTGCTTTGCAATAATGAAAAATATCGCTCTGTGAAGACCAATACCGAGAAAAATTCGGTATTGCTCGGTATTGGTCTTCACAAAATGGTATTTCTAGTTATTGCCGAGCAAAATCAACCAATACCGAGCAATACCTAGCAACACGTGAACATAGCAATCCCGTCTCTGTTCCAGGTCGGGGTTGTCGGGCCACGCGGTAAATAGTGAGAACATGTGGAACTATTTTACTGGCGTCCGAACGTAGAGCTACATCAGGTGACCGGACCAAATAAAAGTTCGATAAATTGGGTAGATAGAGTCAAATATTTTAACTCTTAGGATAAACATATCATAACAAACTTCTTTGGGTCAGATCAATTTTAACGAAAATTAATTCATTGTAAGATCCACTGAAAACAACAATGGAGTGGCTAGCCTATCGAGGGCGGTGGTATTTGATAGTGGAGTGCTTCGACCAGCAGCATACGGTGGTGCCGAGCGATGACTAATAATGTCAGCAAATTATAATTTTTGTACTAAAAAGTTATTTTATGAAGCAGTAAGAAAACCGTTCCATACAGTCTTAATAATTAAACCAAATTATAAAATTGAGATATTTTAAAGGGGATTTTCATATATTTTCATATACCACATCTAAATCTTTATATTTAATTATATAAATACCTAATCTCTAAATTATATAAATAATAATAATAATTTTAATTTCCTTAAAATGAAATAACTTTTTTTCATACATATATTTTAATATTATTTAGATACTAGAGTGGTGTTTGGCACAGTAGATAAATTTCCAACAAAACAGCTCAACAGAACAAGTAGAATTAGCATAGATAAAAATGGTTATTGTTACATAAAAAAAAAAAATTTTTTTTTTTTGCTCAGTTATGTTCCTTCAGAAAACTCAAATAAGAAAACATAATTACTCCATTAACACTTTCTTAATCCTAAACTCCTAAGTAAAAAGATCTATCTAAGAAGTTATGGCTTGATTCTCTTCCCTGACAGCAGTTGCTACTTCAAAACCTGGAGGGATAAACACAATATCATCCCAGTCTGATGAAGAGCTTCCCTGAAATGTTTATGCATATAAACTCAGCAAAATAGCTTTCTAGAAAGTGATATTGGACAATCTGTATGTTTGATGGATAAAATTTTAGTCAAGATGGATTTAAAAGCCATTGGCTTAGCTTTGCGATGAGTGTAATATAAGGCTTCGTTTAGGACGGCTTTCTTACTGCTTCTTAAAGCAGCTTTTTGATATAAAAATTAAATTTTTTGTACTAAAAACTAGTTTAAGAAGCAATCAGAAAGCAGTCCCAAACGAAACCTAAATTTTGATTGGAGTAAATACATGAAAAAGGGACAAAGCTAAGCCAAATGGCTTTGAGATTTATTATGAACTAACAAAAATTCAATTTTGAGTCTTTACCTTCATTGCTGATATGATTTCTTCCAGAACAGAAACCTGTAAGCAATTGAATTTACAGTTAGGATCAGAACTGAAAATAGGAAGCTCATACAAGTTCTCAGAATTTGGTAAAAGGTTATTCCAGTACTGCTGTGACCTTAGATCCCAGTAGTGAATAACCTAACCATTGTACAAGGCTGAAACTGGGCTATCAAAAAAGCTCTTTAGTGCTTAATCATGCTTGGCTCAATAATTAGCTCATGTTCAACTAATTTTTATAAGCTCCTTAAATGAAGGATAGCTCATATTCTATAATTTATATATGACTTTTAAGTGATTTTGTATTCATGGATAGCTCATGTTGGTTCGATAAGTTTTCGAATCGAACTCAGACAAAAAAAACTTAGATTATTTGCTTAAAGAGTCAAGTTGAATAATACTTGAGCTCACTCAAACTCGACTCATTTATGCTAAGGTCTCACCTCAATGTTACCCTTCCTGAAGGAAGGATTTAACTGTCTCTGATCACGGGAAGCTTTGAAGAGAGAGTCTTCGAGGTCCTCCTACATGAAAAATGAAGTAAAATTAAGTTTAAAGAAAGCTGAAGTTCTAGACTCTAGCAAAGATAACAATAAGATAATAATCCATATTCTCTTAACCTTCCTGAAGAAAGCAGGGCGGTAGCTTTTACCCTGACTCCTTAAGGCCAAACTCTTTGACTGAAAAGCATTTGGGATGTAACCATGAATAATAAATAAAATAATTTTTTCTATGCCAAATACATGAAATTTTTTCAAAATTGAGGTTATTTATAGCAGAAGAATAAGCAAAAGAACCTGAAAAACTGGCACACCAAGAAAATCATCAGCAGCCTTCCCAGACTTCTCTTTTAACTGAATGATGAAAATGCACACATTCAGAAGGACATTAACTAGTTATGTTCATAAGCTAAGAAATATAAGGCTCTTTAAAAGAACATGGTAAGCACAATTAACATTCAAGTTTGGCATGAAACGAATGAAATCTTGCTTAGCATTTGCAGCTAGTTATGATTTTGAATAGATTTGATTAGATCTCAAAAAACTAGCACACAACACACATAACATGTTAAACACAGTTAAAATTGTAGGGAAGTGCCCATTAGAAGCGGAAAATCATGAAACAGAAGAAAGCTATTTCACTTGCACCAAAAGAGCTGGGCAGAAGCAGAACAAAAAAGCACTTTGAAGCGGTGAAGCATGAGTTTTGCATAAAAAGCGCCAAGTGTTCCAAGAAGAAGCTTCAATATTAACCTTCTATGACTTGTTTGGTTTTCTTTTGTAACAGACCAAACTCTTAACTATAAAAATATTGTTAGCTTTGGCCAAAGAGTCTTATGGTTTTGTCCTATTGGTGTAACTTTCCAGCAAGTCACCATCCTAGAATTGCTCTGGGATGAGCACGTTTAACTGTGGAGCTTCTTGCGAAAATTACAGTCATTATACCAAAAGACGCCTCGATGTTTAGGAGTTAGCTTTCTTTTACTTAAGAGGTTTCACAATCTCAGAATCTGTTATTAAAATAGTACAACATGAGAACAATACACTCTATCACCTCAAATAGCCTTCCCCTCAACACGTGTTGATTATTGTTTCAGAACATACTTATAGCAGACATATTTAAATGCCCCACTAGTGTCTCCACAATTCCCTCTATTGATTCTCCAATGAACAAAAATTTTCATGTGAAACAACTTTTTATACATAATTCATGGCCATTATATTTCAAAATTAGAGTATGATAATAGTTGTTAAAAGAAAAAACTTAAATTTCTATACACAAGTGTTTAATAGGAGAAAATATGATGAACAGATGAAACAATAATAATAAAGAGACTAAGGCTTCATTGGGGACGGCTTTTTTATTGCTTATTAAAGCAACTTTTTAGTACAAAAATTAAAATATTTGTACAAGAAAGCTGCTTTAAGAAGCAATAAAAAAGCCGTCCCAAATGAAGCCTAAATACCGCAATGACATATGAAGATTTACATGATTTAGCCAAACAAACATATGTCAATATGAGAGAAGACAATGTTTAATCCACTAAAGAGAAACCACACAAATGTACCATAACTAGGGGCAAAAGAAATACACTCTTCCCTAAACTAAATACACCTAATTTCATCACACACGAGACGGCCCAAATCTTTCAAGACAAGATGAGAGAAGCAAATAAGAATGATGGGAGATGATAAACACAAGATATTAAATAATGTCAGAAATTCTCCACTTGAAAACTACTCAAAAGGGCATTGTTACACATCTTTGAAATCAACATATTCTTTTATGCATCATCGTGCTTGCATCGCATCAAAATAATTCTCCACAACAACAACATCAAGCCTTTGTACTACTACGTGGGGTCGGTTACATGAATACTTTTTCTCCATTGTGTCCCGATAAAAGTCAAACTCTTGTTTAAATCTATTAAAGAAAGATCATTTCTAATATTTTCTAACTAAGTTTTTTTAGGTCTACCTCTACCTTTCTTAACATAAGTCAAATCTAATACCTCTACTTTCCTAACCGGGTCATCAAAATAATTCTCCACAATCACAAAAAAATGAGTCAACTAAATTTCTTTTCTCTTTCCCTCTTTCTCCCTCCACGTCTTAATTTTTTTTCCCACGTTTTCTTTATTTCAGCCAACAGTATCTCTTTCCTTAATTTTCAAAGCAGCCAAAGCATGCACATATCCACTTGCCCCTTTTCGGTACACACAACAAAGTGCCTATAAATCCAAATCTTCCTTTTTGATCTTCTAATAATAAGTGTTTAAGGTGGTGAGTTTTAAATATCAATCATGTTTAATTTTAACTTGGAGCTACTTAAAATAACAAAATTTAAAATAAATTTGCAAGCCTAAATTTATATATATAAAAGCATAACATGTAATTACCATTAAAACATATATTTGCATTTTGTGCTTATATTGTCAAAATTATTGAGTCAAATCCTAAAACTTTAAAGTGCTACTTTTATATTATTTAGTGCTAGCATGTCCAAAATAGCATTATTCTATCTTATTTGATTAACTAACATAGCTTGATATTATTACAAAAATTCCATTTTATAGAATACATGTAATTAAACGTTTAGTCATGCATAACAAGTACATGGAACTATAAATTGAATGTGAGTCAGTTAAGTAAATATGTTTTGCTTTCTGCTTTTGAGATGAAAATATCATTTTGCATCTCTCTCTGAGCATAAAACATTAGTATTAAGAAACGAAAATTGTAACAAATACAGAACACATTCTAGCATGCATGAACACACATTAGTTAGAAACAGAAGAGAAGAATTCAAGGGCAAACCGAAGAAGACCACATATATGAAGGATTAAAATTATAAGATTAAAGCCCATATCTATGAAGCGTAGATTCCAAGTCCATTTACGGTATTAAATGACTAATATAACTATCAGCATCTTGCAAGATGTATTGTGCATATGAGCTTTGAAGAGATTTCTATAAGCTCATCCTTATGCAAATGCCATTTTCAGTAAAAGCAAGCTTTTCTGAACTAGCGGAAAAGTATTTTAGTATAAGGACCTTTTTGTCAGTCCTAACCATCTTGCATAGATTTGAACCTTCACAAGTTTATAACTTAAATCTCTATATTTATATGCCTAGATCATATCAAGTAACCTCTGGCATTATTCTCCATGATTGCTACTTCTATGGTCAGAAAGTATTTTGTTCAATAAAGAACCAATAAAGTATTCTCATTGCTATTAAATTGAGTTTTAGTGGATGTGTTTATGTGTGATTACATTCACTTTCTATTGATCCTAGTTTGCAAAGTTTTTAGATAGCCCAATTATTATCTAAAAACTTCCTTAGTCAACCTTCGAGAAGCTAAATGTGAATGAAACATTTATATGAATAAATTCACATTTCGTACAGGAAATGAACAAATACTACTAAAATTACAAGTAGAATGAAACGTTTTCAATTTTCATGTATTTTTTTTCTGGTAGCATGAAACCTCCTTTAAATCAGCTGAAAATATAAGTACAATTTAAATTCGAACGTGAAAGTTAATGACCATGATATCATGACCATCTAAGACATTTAATGAAATCATTAACAGGTTCAAAATGAAACTTTTAACAAGTTTGACTAAAGATGTGTTAGACCGGTCCACTGGACCGGTCCAGCCGGTCCAGGCGGGACCGGTTCACGGGCCAAAGTCGCGCAAACAGGCGGAGATCTCCGCCTCCTGCGGAGATCGAGCGGCCCGACCAGCCCATTAGAGCATTTTAGGAAGCGTTTTTTTAGCGTTTTGAGAGGGAAATTTGAATGTAGGGGCTGTTTAGGGATTTCCTTTTGATTTGTATGCATTAAATAGTTTTCCGAGGGTTTGGACATCTTGAATTTGGCTGAAATTTGAGATCTCGTAGATTTAGGTTTCTTTGGGGCTCTAGCGGCGTCTAGAGATTTGGGAGAATATTCCAAAAACATTTCAGACAAGAGCAATGCAAAGCAAAGTACTTCCTAATTTCAGGTAGAATGTAAAAAAGCCAGCGAAAAAGAAGTTTGAAACTAATTTTAATGGTGATGGTGCAGCAGTCAGAAACAAATAGAGGGTGATTCCATGTATAGATTCAATAGTAAACTTCTGGGGAAATTATTTTGTGAAGAGTATAAACGTAGAGGATCTTCCGGATTGTTGCGTATGTACTGTGTATTTACTGAGTATTTGTATATACGCAGTAAATAAGCAGCAAATCAACAATACTCACTAAATACTCAACAAAAAGGTAGAAAATATGCACTAAATACTCACAACTAATGATTGGCTTAATATTTGCTGCGTGCCTACAAATACACAGTACGTACGCATATGCAGCAATCCAGAAGATTCTCTACATTCGGACTCTGCACAAAATAATTTCCCAAACTTTTGTCATTCAAAAGTACTAAATCAATTAAACAGTATAAATTCTCATTTGAAGTATGTTAACAGGTGAGCAAATTGAACGTGGAAGGAGAGAAGCAATAATTCATGCTAAATTACAGATCCGCCAGTGAGAAAATTTACTCCAAAGTAAGGCAGCGCAGTGTTCAGTGGAAAAATCATAAATAAAGGAAAGAAAATAAAAGAAAGTAACACAAAGCTTTAATAGCCCTGAAGTACTTCACTGTGAAGATGTCTAAACCTCTGACCTTAACGGCATTCAGAACTTGTTGTTGATCAGGGATGAGCCTAAATGCAACTCCGTCAACCTTCAGCTGAAAAACCTGCACTATCTTCATATTAAAAAGACAAAAGAAGCACAAAACATGAAGCTTTCTGCTCCATCTCACATTAGCAAGGTAAACCATGAAAGACGATTAATTTTCCACTGCAAACAAATCCATTAAAACCCTAACCACGCCCAATACCTTGTTGAGAGCAATAGCAACGACCTTGGAACCTTCGCGCATGTCCTTGTTCATCGATTTCATCTGATCAAGAAGCGCCTCGGCGTCATCCTTTTGGAAGCAAAAAAGGCCGAGCGACCTCTCTGTTCTTATTCCTGAGACGAGAACGAATTCCTCCGCCGCATTGGCAAGGGCGTATACCGGCACCCCGGATAGCCGCTCCTCGATTGCCTCGACCGGCATGGCCCTGCCGCGAGGGGCCATGCCGGCTGGCGATATCCGCGCAAAAAATGGGATTTCGCTAGGAGGGAAGGGTAAGTTGGACAAACCAAGATGCAGAGCTCTCCTGGTTTGATTGCTGAGGCTTTCGATGGCGGATTCGAGTTGGGCTTTGAAAGAGGAGGTGGCGGGGTTGGATAGGAAGGCGACCACGGGGTTTGGGCATTGGGGAAAGGAGAGGTTTTTGTTGGGTTTTGGAGCAGTTAGGGTGATGGAGTTCTGCATTTGGGAGACTTGCCAAGGTAACGGCATCCGTGCGGCAAAGCAAAACTCTCTGGAAGGATGGAAGAGACTGAGAGAGTGAAATTGCGGAATTGGGCCAGTTGAACCTTCGTTAGGTTTGGTTTCACGGCTTTGTATTTATTAACACTCTGGAAGAACTACCAGGGGGTGTTAAATCCGGGATTAATCCTGCACTACTCGGGTCAACTCGAATCCGATCTGATTCGGATCCAGATCAACTCGACCCGACACAAATGACCCGGTGTTGATCCAAAATTGCTAGTTTTCGAGTAAAAAAGTCGGGTCAATCTTCGATGTTCGGGTCAAAAACAGGTCAATCTCGGGTCAAATACAAGTTTTCGCGTCATTTTCAGGTCATTTTCGGGTTGCTGGATCAACTCGAACCCAAGCCGATTTTTAAAACGGGTTGATTTGTTGAACCCGAATCCGGATTTTTTCGGGTCGAGTTCGGATCGGGTTTCGGATCTTGTCAAAAATTGACTCCCCTAAGAACTACTACTGCGATAAGCAAATTCAGCGGCGCAGAGAGTACTAGAGGGTGACTAAGCTATAATAGATTATGAAAAAGCATTTAAAAGACTTTTCTAAAAGGATTTATATTCTCATTGAAAGGCCTCTTGTAATTCATAGAACTTTTTACTATTATTATTCCAAATGAATTTATGCTAATTTAGGATGGATAAGTAAGTGTTTATGGAATGCGATGAGAAAGTCTTTGAGGTTGAAATCTAAGATGGCTCTATTTAGAGGATTTTATCATTAAACATTCTCTCTAATGGGCAAATGCGGTGCATTTTTCCTCTCTTTTTAGAACAAATGGAAAGCCTTGGAAGTGACAAAGAGTCAGATCGTCTATAAAGCTTTGTAGGTTTTCACTTGAATAGTACAGTACAATAATTCCAACTTTTAGGAAAAAAAAAGGAGATTGATTTTGCTAAGGAAAAATTAGCAAATGATAGTAATAAACTACAATTTTGCATGCTATCATAAGAATAAGAATATGGAACAATATATGATTTTGATTTGGAAATCACAACTTGAATCGAAGTATAAAAAAGTTTGATTTTTTTCGATAGAAAAAATACAATAAATTTTCAAGGAAAATGAAACACGTCAAAATTGAAATATGGTTTTTGCAAAAGCATCCCATGCAAAATTTAAATAAGATTTATTGAGATTTAGGTTTCTTTTGAGATAGCTTTTTTATTGCTTTCTAAAATAGCTTCCTAGAACAAACAAGTTTTAATTCAAATAATTTTATACTAGAAAGCTACTTTAGAAAACTGTAAGAAAGTTGTCCCAATTGAAGCCTTATATTTCATTTGGGATAATTTTTTTATTGCTTTTTAAAGCAATATTTTAGCACAAATTTTTTTTGAAAGCAATAAAAAAACAGTGACCAAAAGCTATCATAAACCGCCTCCTGGATCACATTAATCCTCTATCACAACAACTCCCTTATCGTCGCCCATTTCTCACCATCCTCCTTTTGGATCCTAAACCCAACACACTCCTGCAACTCTTACTTCGCCTCATATCTGATTCAGATCTTCTGAAACTTCTCATTCCCCAATTATCGAGCCGCATTTCTCGTGATTCGTGATGCCGGCATTGACGGAATGAGTGACACAAGAGTTTAATTATTTGAGCAAAAGAAAAGTCTAAGAATTTAATTATTGAATGGATTCAAGGAAATCCATTTTTAAATTTATATGGAATCCAAAATCTTTACTTTCTTTAATTTATGCTTACAATAAAATTTATTTAGGCTTCCTTCCTAACGTCTTTCTAAAGTTGCTTTCTAGTACCAAAAGTTTCGAGTTCAAAAAACTTTTGCACTGCAAAGCTTCGAAAAGCAGCAAGAAAGCCTCCCCAAACAAAATCTTTGTTGGTGTTCAATTATATGTTATCCTCTACTTTGATTGATGCAAGTTAGCTCATAAGAGTTTACTACAAAATCATTCACTTATTAACATTTATATGAGAATATTCTATGCTTGCCTTAAGAGACAAAAGACTTAAAAAAACCTTTTCAACTTATAGCAAAGTACTTTTCTTCTAAATTTTTTGTATTTAAATGACAAATTTATGATCAAGCTCTCCATAAAATATAAGAAAATTATTATTGCTACAAAATTGTATCTTAACTAGTCCATAATGATTTGTTTCTCTTTCAAATGATCTTTCATTATTGTTTAAAATGCTACAATATCATAATTGCATAAAATTGTGATATGTCCACTATGTTATATGTTTATAACTCATCATTTAGGTTATAAATAAATGGATGAAAGGAGTTTTATTTATGATAGATGAGAAAAAGCTAATTTAAGCACTTTTATAGTTTTATTTATATATAGAATAGTTTGGATATTTTTCTTTCAATTTCAATTGTGTTTCTTGCCAATCATATTGTTTTAAGATTATGAGAACATTTTTATAATGCATAAAAATTTTGGTTTAGTGGCACTTTTGTCATATTTGAAGTTTTGTATGAATGCACAGAAGAAGTGAATTTTAAATTGTTACGGTATGAGATTGGTATGAAAAGCTTCGACCCTTCGTCTTATTGTTTGTTTTCGTCTTGCTACATTGAGTCACCCGGCCAGATCATGACACTCAGGCTGCTGAATAAACTCCCATCAAAGACTTAGGCTTTGTTTGAGATGTCTTTCTTATTACTTCTTCTTAAAGCAGTTTTTTGCATTAATAATGTCATCCTAAACGAAGCCTTAATCATACTGCTCATACAAGCAAAATCTACAATTAGCATTTCATAAATATGAAATTTCGAGTGAGTAATGATCTTCAAACAAAACTTTATTCAAATCATTAAAGATATAATTTGATTTCTAATTTAATAAAAAATGGCTAATTTATAACTTCTCAATCAAATTATCTTTTATTCAAATCATTAAATATATTTATGCAGGAGCTATTACTTGTGTTCAAACACAATGTGGTTTGACAAATTATTTTCCTACTTCGGTTGGATTACATCAAGGATCAGCCTTATGTTCATATATTTTTGCTTTAATCATGGATGTTCTCACTAGACATTTGCAAGATAATGTACCTTGGTGTATGTTTTTTGTTGATGATTGTTTGTGTGCTGAATACTCGTAGAACGCTAGGACGTAAATTTACAATCTCGAGGCAAAATCAATGATATTCTTCTTCTTATTAATACTAGAGAGATAGAGTTGAAGGTAAACTTGAATTATTGAGGTCAACCTTAGAGTCTAAAGGTTTTCACTTAAGTAGATCTAAAATTGAATATATTGAGTGTAATTTTAGTAACAATGGACCAAGTGAGGGGATTGTGACTTTGGGCTATAAAGTTATTAATAAGAGTACACGTTTTAGATATCTTTGATCTATTGTTCAGAGTGACGGTGAAATAGTTAGGGATATTATCAGCAGAATTCAAATTGATTGGTTGAAGTGGAGGAATGCATTGGGCTTGTTGTGCGATAAAAAAATCCCCCTCAAATTTAAGATGGTGGTGAGACCTGCAATGTTTTATGGTGCCGAATGTTGGCCATTAAAAGAGAAGCATAATACTAAGTTAAGCGTTGCAGAGATGAGGATGCTTAGGTGGATGAGTGGCTTTACCTTTAGAGATAAGATACAAAATGATCATATACGTGAAAAAGTTGGAATAGCTCTAGTGGAAGATAACATTAGAGAGAGTCGCTTAGATGATTTGGTCACATTAAATAGAGGTCTTCTTATGACCCAGTTAGGAAAGTTGAGGTATTAAGTTTGACTTATGTTAAGAAAGATATATGTAAACCTAAAAAGACATTTTTAAAAAATATTTGAAATTATTTTATTTTATTAGATTTAAATAAAAATTTAAATTTTAACATGTCACAATAACAAAAAAGATTCATATAGAAGATGCTGTTATACAATTGAATTATTATATTAAAAGTAAAATATTGCAGGTTTTTGCGGTCACGGCGGGCGCCGCTATAGATTCCACCAAGCCACAGACGGCGTTTTCAGACGCTGCTCGTCGTACTTATCTCCTTATCCTTCTCCCAGCCCTAAACCATTTATGTGGTCAAAAAGCACAGAATCATCAGTCAGTCGCACAAAGCGCCGGCCATGGAAGAAGAAAGTAAGCTTCACATCGTCATGCTGCCATTTGTCGCCATGAGCCATCTCCTCCCATTCTTCGAGCTCTCCAAGCGGCTTGCTCTTAAAGGGGTGGAGATCTCGTTCTTCACCGCGCCATCCAACATCCACCGCCTCCCTTCAATTCCACAAGCCCTAACTCCCTTTATTAACTTCATCTCCTGTTCCATCAACAACAATTCTTCCAACATCGAGAACAGCGTCGATCTCGGCTCCGAAGCCGACCGACTTCTTCTTCTTAAAGTCTACGACAACTTCGAGAACCAACTCACCGCCTTGCTCTCCGATACTTCTCGTCCCAAACCAGACTGTATCATCTACGACTTCCCCGGCGGAAGATGGGCTCCAGCCCTAGCTTCCCGATATAACGTCAACTCAGCCAGCTTTTGCCTCTTCAACGCCGCCGCACTCACCTTTTGCAACCATACCAAAGACTTCGACTCACCGGAAAAACTCACAACGGTGCCGGATAGTATCCCGTTTCCGACTACCGTTGCCTTCCGGCCATTCGAAGCTCGTATATTCTACTCAATGTTTGGCAAAAAACCAAAGCAAACAGAAGCCAAAACAGAGAGCAGCCAATTTACCCTTATCAGAACCTGCAAGGAGTTCGAGAGCAAATGGTTAGATCTGCTTGGCGACACACATACCCCCGTGGGTTTACTTCCCCCATCTTTTGACGAGGAGGAAGAGAGTGAGGCATGGACGAGAATACGCGAATGGCTTGATGAGCAAAAGGAAAGTTCTGTGGTCTATGTTGCTTTTGGATCTGAGGCAATTCTTACGAGAAAGCAAATTGATGAGATTGCATTAGGGTTGGAGACGAGTGGACTACCGTTCTTCTGGGTTCTGCGGGTGGGTTCGCCGCCGCAGGGGTTTGAGGAGAGGACGGCCGGAAGAGGGCTGGTGTGGATGGGTTGGGCTCCGCAGGTCCGAATTCTGGCCCACTGGGCGGTTGGAGGCTTTCTGACCCACGGTGGGTGGAATTCTGTGGTGGAAGGGTTGGTGGTTGGGGCGGCGATGGTGGTTTTGCCGATGATGTTTGAGCAGGGGCTGAATGCGAGGAATTTGGTGGAGAATGCTTACGCGGTTGAAGTGGCGAGGAATTATGAAGATGGCTCCTTCACTGGTGAGGAGATTGCGAGGAAGTTGAGGATGGTGATGGTGGAGGAGGAAGGAGAGGAGCTGAGGAAGAAGGCGAAAAAGGGGAAAGAGGTTTTTGGGAGTGAGAAGCTGCAGCAGGAATATCTTGATGAGCTCGTGAAGAAGCTACGGGAGAAACGGACGGTGGTGGCAGAGCCAGCTTGATTTGTTTAGGGTGGTAAGCATGGGGGTTTAATATATAAATAACATGGAATAAATTGGTATGTATGTAAATCCCCCGTATTTATATTTTTTAGTTTTATGCTTTATTTTTTTGCACGAAATAAGAAGTGAAGGATGTAATATTATAATTTTATTTGACTACTACTTAATGTTATCATTGCAAAAATTTATATTATTAGTACCTTTGATTTTTTGAATATGTTTTTTAGGGAAACATTTGAATATCTTATTGAAGTAAAATTCAAAGGTGAAGACTACATGAGAAAGATTGAAATGCAATGAACATTAGAAAAGAGAACTAAATGATATATAGCACCAAGTTAAGAAGCCTATAAGGAGGAGCAATTATTACTTCCGGTGTCCGAATGCATTCAGAGACCAATAATCACACGCCACGTCACCTAAAACTCGGTATTTTGGACTCGGTATTGCTCGGTAAACATTCGGACCGTTCGGTTTTTGACCGAATGTAATAATTTCTCCATAAGGCGAAGCTATATAAGGCATGTCTTATTATAGAAAAGTGATAACATAGATAGGTTAAGCCAACTTTAATGGGTAGTTTTCAAGACATGACAATTTTGTATTTCTATGTTAAAGTCAATATTTCCCATTTCCAATATAAGTTATGTTGTAGAAGTTCACTTAATTAAGTGCAATCTCTCATTTAAAAATAATAATAATAATAACTTAAAAAAGAAGACTTATTTATCCATATCAAGCGTATTCAAAATACGGTTAATAACAATTGGATGCTTGAACATACCCGAGACGAATCTGATATAATAACATCGAGGCTTTTTCTACTACGTGGGGTCGGCTACATGAATCCTTTTTCTCCAATGTGTCTTGTTCATAGTCAATTCTCATTTAAATCTAATAAAAATATCATTTTTAATATTTTCAAACTAAATATTTTAGGCCTGTCTATAAAATTAATAGACAATAACTTTATTTTCAAAAAGCATGAATAAATTAAAATATTATTTATATCAATATCGCCAAAAGAATATAACAGTATGATTTAAACTTGATCATGCATCATAATTAGCTTTCTAGAACTTGTTACTTAAACTTAAATATTATATACAGTGACATGTATTTACAGATGGACATCAGAGTATACTTGTTAACAGAATGTCACTTGCACTTTTATAGAAGTATCAGAGGGTATCTGTATAGAAATATTAGAGTGTACTTATGAATAGAATATTTTTTGTATTTAAACTTATTTTATTTAACAGAATATGCAATATATGAATCATAATATGTATGTCTTGATGCTTGCTTAAAACTCCACATTCAGTTATGCCTCCCAAGATCAGCCTTCACTAGGTGAAGGAGACCAACCCAATTCTCCTTATAACTCGACTTCTACTTATAGCACATTTGAATCTCTCATACTTACATAATGCATTTGAGGTCAGAAATAACCTCCCTCATCTATATAAAGCAGATGGGTTCATAATCAAAAGCAAAATATAATAGAAATTTAGGCTTACATAATAGAACTTTTAGTGCCCTTTAACATCTCTCACAATAGAACTTCGATCATATGAACATGAATGCAAATGCTGATATTAATAAAATTAATAGATATATATGATGTTTGTAGAGAGAGAGAGCTCAGACAAATTCAAGAAATAGAAATAGTTTCCCGTATTCTATTCATCTCAATACAACCGGTATTTATAGACAACTTACAGAAGTCGGGTTATATCTAAACCAATCCCAGACAGACATGTGGCAAAATACATTTACATAGCTTTCTACTTACATCCCCCCTCAAATTGATGATGTATGATCATCCAGCAATTTGGTTGACATTTGTTTAAATCTGAAATTGGACAAAGGTTTGGTAAAGATATTAGCAAGCTGGTCCTCAGTGCATATGTGGTGTACCGAAATCTGCTTGGTACGAATACAATCTCTTATGAAATGGCAATCAACCTCTATATGTTTCGTACGAGCATGAAACACAGGGTTATTAGCTAACGCAATTGCCTAAGTATTATCGCAAAAAACAGTGGTAGGTTCTTTTTGAGGAATGTGAAAGTCTTCTAGTTAGCGTCTTAGCCATATAATCTCAGATGCCTCAGTAGCTAATGCTCGATATTCTGCTTCCGTAGATGATCTTGCTACTGTGGTTTGCTTTTTGACTTGCCAAGATATAATCGATTTGCCCAAAAAATTACAATAACCAGAAATCGATTTCCGGTCTTTCTGATTACTAGCCCAATCAGAGTCTACATACCCTCTCAGAGTGAGATCATCATCATATAGTGCTATACCTTTGTCCGAAGAACCTTTAATATATCGCAGTAAGCGTTTAAGATTTTCAAAATGTATATTGAGAGGCTGATGCATTTGCTGGCTAAGTTGATGTACTGCAAACTGTATGTCACGACCCGACCCGACGGGGACGGATCCCGCCCTAGCCGGACCGCGACCAAACCTTCTTATCCAGGATCTGGCTTTGGAATTGGTTCATGAACTGAATCTTCCAAATTAATCAACTCAACAGACACACAACCACAGAGCTACTATGAATCATCAAACACAGCGGAATAAAACATCTATATTTTCATTTTCCTCAAAACAATCATCTACAGATACAATACATGGCTTTTGAACAGAAAGAAAGACAGAACAAAAAAGCCATGACTGTACAAAAATCAAAAGGTACAAACACTACCTATACGGATCAGAACTCAGAAATCTACTCCTGGACTTCTTTCCCTTTCCCAGAACCTGAAAACCACCAGAAAATAAGAGTGAGCTCAACAGCTCAGCAAAGCAACAAACCTCCAATCAAAATTCTCAGAATCCAAAACCAAACTCATCAGACAGAAATCCAATCAGAAATCGGAACAGAATCAGACAGATATCCACTCGGACATATCAGAACGAAACAGAACAAATCAGAACAGATACGGACAGATCACATCAGAATCAGAAATTGTACACATCAGAATCAGAACGGATTAAATCAACAGAGTCAGAATCGTACATAAATTCAGAAATCAGGATTGATCGTAGCAGAATCACAATTTCTTACAGGACAGATCCAGAAAACAGAACAGATACAGAAATCCGAATCATATCAAATCAGATATCAGATAATATTTCATTCATAGCTAAATGCCCTGACACTGACGGAATCTCTACGGATTCCGGCCCCTTATGCCTCCCTTCCCAGACACTGACTGAATCTCATAGGATCCAGGCCCCTTATGCCTCCCTTTGTGCTCACGGCACCAGAACAAATGTGCTTATAGCACCAGAACAGAATTCATCGGATCCGGAACAGAACTGATTTCAGAATTTCAGATTGAACTCATTTCAGATTTCCCAGACACTAACTGAATCTCATAGGATTCAGACCCCTTATAGCTCCCTTTTTATAACACATACAGATAGCATTTCAATTCAGAAGAAATCCGGGCAAATCAGAAATCAGACAAAAAATC